GTATATTGGGGAGAAGAGCTTGGCATTTTGCAAAAGACTGAAGGTGACCGGAAGTGGTGGCTTCTGACTGAGCTATCACTAGGAGAGGAGGGATGCTCCTTATCCTCACACTCCTGGAAGGTGCAGTTTCAGGAAGAGTAATGTTTTTGGATGTCCAGGAATTTCAACACGCTAATGACAAATGCATTATTTTTTAAAGATTGTCATCCGAGGAGGCCGACTTTCCTCCCCAAATTTGGAGTTTTAAGAAGCAAATTAGGACCGAGGATGCTGCACTGACTGTTTCCGGGTTCTCGGCAACAGAGCATTTAACTATAAAATAATTTGATACGAGTTTTCAACAGGCACCGGAAATTAATCTACAGCTGAATTTAACTATGTCCATCCTACCATTTAAAAGAAATAAGAAAGAAAGACAAACCAGTCACTAAGAGCCATGGGATGGCTCCTGGCTTTTCATTGCCATCCTTAACTATGACAATGGGAAAGAATCGCTGACCAAGCGTGGATTGAGAGTGAGCACTTTGCCGAGCAGGCTCAACCTACAAAACCCTCTGGCTCTAGGGCTGACAGCTGAGGGCATTTTCCTGAAAGAAAGGACACACAAAGGCTCACCTGAGCACATGCCCAGAATGACCCATTAGCTCATTTCTACCTCCAATCTGCAGATCTGGAGAGCTGGAGGGCAGTGAGAACCATTTTGATACAGACAGAGGCAGAATTTGCTCTATTCCAATTTTAGAATCTGGGCTAAAATGGGCAATTTAGAATAATAAAGCTATCATGTGCTTCTCGGCCTCTCTCCTGGCTTTTGAATTGTTGCATTTAGATCTTAACTCTTTGCTAGGGATGCTGTGCCTCGAATATCTTACAGATCTGCTGACTTTGAATATATTCAGTTTACCGAGCGAGAGGGAATAATAGCAGAATGTCCTTTCATGTGGCTGAACTGTCGTCAGTGTGGTAGCAGCTGCTGTGGGAAGGTGATCCATTTTGCCACTTAGTGTTTGCCTCATTTCTGCCGATAATCTCTCTAGAATATTAAGAAGGTTCAAATGGACATCCCATTGGCTAACAATGAAGAGACTAACAGGCACTCTCTACCTCACATTTCCTTTGTGATAAGGCCGTGGACGGCTTTACAGGACTGAGCAGCCCTGGCAACATCTGGCGCACGGACACTGGGGAAGAAAGAGCCAGCCTGGCCTAAGTGGCAGATGTTTATGGATGCTAGGTCAACGGCCAGCAAAGCAGAGCCCTTGCCACCCAGGCACCTGCCACCAGTGCAGAATACTAGGTTTCACTCCACACCTACGAGATGGGTAACCTTGGGAACAGGACCAGTTATCACCAGAATCCAGATAGTTCTCATGGCCAGTGAAACTCAGGAACTGTTTCTCCATAGCAGGTGTCTAGACTATTAGTCATCACGTTAGGAAAGAGCCGAACAGACTTTAGCATGGTGTATTAGAGGATATCTAGATTAAGCTAGTGGAAGCTACAGTTGCTGGATGGAACACTGAGGACCACTCTTGTTATTTTCAGACCGTGTACACACACACACACACACATAGGGGCACACGCACAGGCACACACAATATATGTATAGGTGGATGGATACAATTAAATGTATGTATACATTTAATAGCTTGTATTCAAAGGAAAAGGAAAAACAATTCCACTGAAATTGAACAAAGGAAATAAATGAATGATTTACTGAAAAAAATCAAACGTCTAATACACACAAGAATTAACAGCTGCATGAAACCTGGAAAATGTTCATTAAACAATCTGTTTTCCTCTAATTGGATTAGGATAATTAATATGCATAGTATGTGCTTTGTCTCAGATGTCATAGAGATTCTGCTGAGTTTGAATATATTCAGATTACAGAGTAAGAGGGAAAATACTTGAGTATTTTTTAATCTGGCTGCTATTCATTGACCTGTTAAAAAGTGGACCCCTTATAATGTTGGACTAACTCTGTTCTGAGGAACGAACTTATGGAATTTTACTTTTACTAATTAAAAGCATACCTACATCTATAAATCAAAATTGTCTCATATTTGTAATTTATATATACTTACATTTGTTACAGCAATTAAAATTATGTTTAATTGTGCTTTTGTAGTAACATATTGGCAACAGGTTAAATGTGCATGGGTGGGTAAGAGAAGGGTTACTCATAACTTGCCAAGGTTCTGAGAAGTGATTGGTAAGCACTCAGCCCAAAATGGGATGCCTAGACGATTCCCCTCCAAGTCTCAGAGAACATCGTGGAGGGGGGGGGGGGCGGGCACAAAGAATGTAAGGGCCTGAAGAAGGAACAGAATATTGTGGGATACTTCTGAGCATGATTTGGCCATTACATTCCTGAGCTCACAGCAGCTGCAATTCTGTGTAGAAGACATGCACAAGATTGGACCCATCAACATCCTGTCATGGAAGGAGGAAGCTTACAAGACCCCCACCTCCCTGACAGTCTACAGGCAGCTGACGGTTTCTAGGCAAAGGAGACATATTTCTTTAGTGGCATAAGGTGCCCATGTTCCTATAAATAACCCTTCACTCATGTTCCTGTAAACAACCATATTGAAACTCACTAGTAACCCCACACACACCCCAAGATAACAGAAGACTAGTTTGGAAGGGGATCATTAGGAGCATGAGTAGGAAAAGAAGGGGTAATGGGAGTGAATATTATCAATTTGAATTATACTCACATATAAAGACGCCACAATGAAGCCCATTTTTAAATACAGTTAATATATGCTAATAAAAACTTTAAAAAAGAGAAATATTAAGTAAAATGTTACTTTTTGCACAGTTGAAAATGGTGGCAGATATATATGTACTGATATGAAAAGCTCTCTAAAACATAGTAATAAAAGAAAAATTTACAGCAAATATATAAAAATTTTTCTCATTTATGTAAGACAAAAATATATAATGTCTGCATACAAGTAGTACATAGTTTATTATGACACAATACAATTTTTTATACAATATGTGTTTGGCAAATACCTAGCAAAGTGATAAATTTTAAAATTTTACAACTTTTATACTCCGTTGGCTTTTTGTTTTCTTTCAGTGCCAGGGATAAGTCACACGGTTCCGGGCTTTTTGAGACAGGGTGTGTGTGGTGCCTGGGTAGGAGGCCATGGCCTTGCACATGCTAGTCAGCGCTCTGCTACTACGGAAGTATATCCTTGGGAGGGTAACAGTTTTGTTTTGTTGTTTGGTTTTTGCAGTGGCTTGTTTGGGGGACACACCTCATTGGCCATAGTAAATGATCTCAGCAATTACTTGATGAATTACGATTATATAACGGTGCCAATAAATTGGATGGTTGGTGGCCAATTTTCCAGAGAGATGCCCAGTGAGGGGCTCTCTCCACAGCTCATTGCTGCCTTGACAAAAGGGCACATCGGAGACGAACAAGTCGTCATCGAAAGCCACCTTGCCTCTTACCCACAAGCTTGGTGCTCCAGGTAGAAGCATCAGTGTTTCAGACGTTCAGCCTGGCTCTGCTTCTGTGACTTCAGCTACTGTCTCTGGGCCCCTCTTTTCCAGTACGTGCCCATGTCTGTGTTTCACAATAGTCCCTGGAAAATTGTGGCAGGAGTCCTGAAGCTAAATGTGCAATTAAAAGGTAAATGTTGGCGTCGGCAGCCTTAATTGATCTTTCTGGGCTTTAACTTCAAGGATTAGCTCTTTGTACCCAGAAAGGGTTCTCCTTGGTTTTACACTTTCTTATATTAATGAGACATACAACTTCCAAGAGAAAATTTGGTACCCGGAGGCTGCAGCCCCTGATCACTTAACCTGGGCTCTACCCTGTGCCTGGAGCAGTCTCTGCTGACCTTTCCATGGTGGTTCAGTTCCCTTCTGGACAAACATGGGAAAGTGCCCTTTCCTGAGACACGCCACAATTCCCCCGGTCCCTCCGCTGTCACGGGAAACCCCAAGCTACTCAGATCAAATCAATGTGAGCAAGTTAAGAATCAGTATGGACCAAATAAGACCAAGGCATATCTACTGCCTACATGAACCTATTGAAAGCAAAGTGGCCACATATTTATGACCTGCCATTCATCAGAAACCCTAAGCCCCTACTATTGTTACCTTAAAAGTGTCTAAGTGGAAATATTATTCCTGCCTAACCCTGAACTTGAGCCTGAAGCCCAGTCATAACAAGCTGACAGTTATTAATGGGGATGTTCTACTAGCCCATGGATGTGCTCACATCTGTTAAACCTGCTCTCGAAGGGTCGCATGAATTATTGATGCCAGGACATGCTGCTTTAACCCAGCACACGTTTTTGTGACGTCATGATGTTTTCCAGAGTCCTAGGTCACGGCCACCTGACTTTCAAAGTCACAAGTTAAAGCCTGTGTTCATCCTGAGCAGACTGTACAGAAGAGGTTTCTGCCAGAACAACCTGCCATTTAGAGAGAATGGAGCAGGCAGGGCATTGTAGTACGTAGTTGAGATTTCACTAATCAAAGGTAGCAGCCTGGGCTAGATAGTGAGACCTTGTCTAGGAAGATGGGGAAAGGAGGGAGGGAGAGAGGAAGGGAGGGAGAGAGAGGAAAGGAGAGGAGGAGGGGAAGGAGGGGGAGGGGAAGGAGAGGAAGGGGAAGGAGGGGGAAGAAGGGGAGGAGGAGGAAGAGTAATCAAAGGAGCCAGGATTTGCTTCTCCTCATTCCAGGACTGCCTGAGACAGCCCAGCAGTCTGGCCAGGTGTGGCTCTTTGAGGGTAAAGACGGTTGTGCTCAGAATAGAGAAACCTGCTCCTGAGTGTTCTGACCCGCGCTCAAGTGTGAAGCGGCAGGTGTAAGGGGCCGGAGATGCCAAGCTTCACCTAAGGCAGGACCCATTTCTCTCCTGAGCTTTACCTCCCCGCCGCCCCCCACCGCGCCACAGACACCCTGTTATGCCACTACCCCTCCGCATCTGTTGCACCCTGTTTTTGCTGCCCTGGTTTTGTGTCGGGGGATCTTCCTGGGCCGGGTGAACATCGCCGTGAAGCTCAGTGGCTCTGTGCTTAACGACTTCATTTTTTCACCGACACCCTTCTAATAAAAGCTGTTTGAAGAAGGGGGGATTTGAAGGCTTCTGTGGTTGGGGGCAGGTTGTCATCTAAGTCGGCTTCCCTTCTGGACAAAGCGCCCATTGTCTGCGGGAGCTGGCATGACAGAGGAACCACAAGAGGGCGCGCCAAGCCTCGGAATAAATAGCTCGTCTGTCCTAGCCGCTAAGGCGGTGGAACTGCCAGCCCATGTTGGGAGGACTCCTAATCCACCAGACACACGAATGTTCTAGAAGCCCTTCAGGGACGTTCTCATGGTTGGACAAAGAAGAGCTCTGCAGGTGCACAGAGGAGAGATGGAGGAGGAGTGTTGAGAGGAAGGGAAGCGATGGGCAGGGGAGTTGGCAGGGGAGGAAGGATAAGACAAGAAGAGAGACCCTAGGCAGAGGAGAAAGAAGAGGCAGGGGTGGGTGGAAGGGGCGGGTGGAGGGAAGACAGGAAAAGGAATGTTGCTTTTTATAGGGCCGAGAGACAGGGAAGTCTGGTGTTTCTGTGGACCAGATGGTGTGGCAGGGGATGGGACCAGGCTGCGGCTGCTCTGGGGGAAGCTGAATGTCTCCCGGGTCTATGGAGTCTCAAGCATGGCGTGAGCCTGGCTGAGTCTCTCCAGGACTTTCCCAGCCTGTTCCTCGTTGCTTTAAAGGCACACCTTGCCTTGACCATGTGCATCCTCCCGGCAAACAAGGACTCGTTTGGAAGTCAGGGTCTCCCCAAGCCTCTCCAGGCAATGGGGCAAGGGAAGGTGGTCATGGTAATAATAGCTTCCAGCTGCTTCAGAATCAGATTTTATTACTGATAATTTTAAACCTTGAGATAGTGGGAAAGGAAGTAAGTTGGCCGGGGTGGTTTTTTGTTGTTATTTTGTCTTTTTTTTTTTTCCATTTAAAAATGTGTCCACCTAACAAGAGTGGGTAAGGTTTTGCAAACTCTTCCTGTATTTTGAGGTAACCTGAATCTGTGTTCCCAGGCCATGGTTACTCATATTTATCTTCACAATAAACTAGCTCCTTTCTTGGAGATACGGCTGTTTTCTACTTGACAGCACGTTTGCAAGTGTGTGTGGGGTGGTGTGAGTGTGTGTGTGTGTGTGTGTGTGTGTGTGTGTGTGTGTGTGGCAGAGATCTACATCAAGTGTCTGCAATTGCTCTCCACCTTATACTTCCAGACAGGGTCTCTTACCTGGAGTATACAGACTGACTTGACCAGCTGGCCAAGAAGGTTCCAGAGGCTCTCTTGTCTTCAAGCCCTAGCCTTCTGGCAGACACTCCTCCACACCCAGCTTGTTACGGGAGTTCTAGGGATGCAAACCGCGGCCCTTATGCCTGTTACAGCATTTTCCTGCTGTGTCTCCAGCCCTGAAGAACGGCACCTCTTCAGCTCTGATATGTCTGTATTTGCTGTACCATAAAATTAACACAGGGAAGTTGAAATATTTTACATTACGAATGAAATTTTCCATTAAAATATTGTCAGACCTGGGGAGGTGACTCAGTCCATGAAGTGTCGGCCATGCAAGCTCAGAGATCTGAGTTCAGATCCCCCAGCATCTTCACAAACACCAAGTGCAGCCACGCATACCCCCAATCCCAGCCGAGGGCTTAGGAGGACAGAGACTGGTGGACAACCACAGGGCATGGACCAGACAGCCTAGCCGAAGGACTTTAGAGTGAGAAATACCATCTCAACAGCAGCAGACCGCAGTGCTGGGAGGTTAAACCCGGGGCCTTTGCATTCTAGGTAAATGCTATAGACTGAGCCGCAGCTCAAGGATATTTACTAATTCAATCAAAACGGCAGTAATAAACCCATCCCACGTACATTTAAACAATGTCCTCATGAAAACCATTTATTTCCAAAAGAATAACAAAATTACTCAGAAAAAAAGTCCAATTTTCTACTAAATACAAAGCGCTGTTATTTGCTGTAGAAAAATACAGGAAAACACAAAAGAAAGACATTTTGAAATCCCACCACTTAATGGGAACCACTGTAAGTAGACTTTGCAGAGGAAACCTAGGAATTCCAGATACCGTGTCTCCCAGACACTGAAACAGTACCCCTAAACTGCAGCAATGTGCAAGTGTCTGTGACAGACCAGGACAGGGTATGGATGGCCCTTGACTGACTTCAGGGAGCATAGAGCTCATTCTGTCTGCAAACACCTCACTTACCACAGCCGACATAGAATTGAATCTACACAGAACTGGGTCGCTTAGTCAGGAGCCAAGGCTAGGCTTTGTTATTCCACGCCACATGTGTGAAATTTGCTGGCAAAGCAGTGCCTTGGTTTCCTCTTGGTGTGTCTGCCTGTTTTATATCAGGAGAGAGCCGGACATTTCCTGCTGAGCGCTGCGTTCGGAGGAGAACGTAGGATGGGATGGTGGGGCGGAGGGACGAAGGTAAGGAAGCAGCTTCCTGCTTGCAATCCCTGGCCAACCCTTTCACGTTCTTTATCTCCCTGCTGGAGCAGCTGTGAGACCCCTGGACACTGGGAGTCCGCAGTTTTCTCAGAATGGCGTGGACTTGCCAGAGACCCTGTATTGATTGTAAAGGGCAGGGGTCAACCAGCACTCCGCCCCTGGGTCCTCACTGCTTTTTCTAGAGTACATACAGGGTTCTAGAACAGCCTGCCTGCTCCAGGAAAGCAGTCAGTGAATTTATATGAAATTTATAGACATCTGGAGTTGGAAGAAATGCTGAAAGACACAGGGAAGGCATGGTCCGAAGTGAATGGCTGGGGCCATAGGGCTGCATAATAGTTCCTTCCTCGAACAGAAAATAAAGAAGAAGAAGAAGAAGAAGAAGAAGAAGAAGAAGAAGAAGAAGAAGAAGAAGAAGAAGAAGAAGAAGAAGAAGAAGAAGAAGAAGAAGAAAAAGCCAGATGCCCCTGTCTTCACAAGGCCCCGTGTCTCTACTCACCAATGGTTACCCAGATGCCCTTTAAGAGAGAGATTGGACGACAGTACCAAAGCACCAAGCACTTACTGAAAGTGATTGGATCACCCCCAAGAGAAGAAAAGACAAGGGAGAAGGTTCTTGTTTCTTTCTGTTTTGAAGAGCTGGCCTGCCCCTTGCTGGTAGCCTACATACCACGTGAAGGCCCTAGGTTTGATCCCAGCACCATAAAGATCAATACCATCGACTTTGCGACTTTGCATATCACACCGAGGGCACTGGAGACATTCCAGCCAGTTCAGGAGAAGGGCTCGTTCTTTCCTAGAAACTCGGTTCTTCTAACACTGTTTTCTCTGTGTGGACTCAAGTGTAACAGTTGGCAAAGGGTGTGGCGTAGCCCATCTAAAGCTCTCGGTCTGTAAACACCTGCCCTTGGATCCTGGGGGAAGTGTCTCCCAGGCTGCTGGCTGCCTGGGAGTTTCTGCAGACTGATTCGGCTGCACAGGAATGGCTGTGAGGGAAGGGGCCGAATGTCACTCTCCATAGCCCACTCTATCGACGTGCTGGTTCTGTGGCAAGGGGAGCAGAAGCAGGCTCCCAGGATCCTCCGCCAGTTCTGGCCAGCTGTGCCCCTGTGTGTCTTATATCTGGTTTCTCCTTTGTTATTTTACATTTCAACAAAAGCCTTGCTCTCCCGGAGTTTATTTGGTCAGTGTCAGTAAGGAATGCAAAGTCATAATTTGTGGTGGGAGAGACGTGTTAACTAGGTCCAAACTGCTATCAAATATCCCAAACATAAACTTCTTCCTGCGAAGTTGAAAAGGGAGCCGAGGGTCTTGGAAAGTTTGCTCTCCACTTCCTGAGGCCTTGCGATGTCTTGGTTGCAGCTGCATATACTCTCAGAGTCCATTAACTGTCCCTGTGAAGGAGAGCTATGGCCTGCAGAGAAGTCTAGCTTGGGCCAGGGAAAGCCCAGATTCTTCAGGAGACAGCACCCCTGTTGCCTGGCTCTGGTGTTTGGGGGAACACTGCCAGGTCTCTGCCAAGGTTAGGAGAACCCCTGGGCAACCTCAACTCTTCAGAAAGACCCCAGCAGGGTTTTTGTTTGCTTGGTTTTTACAGTGCTGGGGTTTCCTGCACACTAGACAAGCCTCCACAACTGACCTCTGACCCTAGCCCTTGTCCAGTAAAATGACTGTACAGCTCCCAAGTGTATCAGCGCTAATCCAGCATCCTTCACAAGCAGTTACTAAGCATCCCCATGTTCCATGTTGATCTCCACTTTTCTTTTGGAATTGGTTTCCTGGGGAGGAAAAAAACAAAATGGTATTGGCCACTCTCCAGAGAGCTTCTTAATTCACATGTTCAGTTCTTGGTGGAAAACTCTTTCCTTTATAGAAAAAAAAAAAACCTTTAAAAATATGTATTTATTTGTGTGAGAGGGGAAGTGAGTTTCGCATTCACATATGGACACCAAAGGACAACTCGCACAGATGGGGTCTCTCCTTCCGCCTTTCCATGGGTCCCAGGGATCAAACTCGTCATCCACTTCAACAAGCATCTTTATCCAGTGAGCCATCTCATGAGCCTTCCTTTGTAATTTTTAAACTAATGAACAGTGTTTATTATAGGGTTTTTTAATTTTCTTACTTATTTTTGAGAATTGCAAAGATGTATATAATGAAATATAATCATATTTACCTCCCATTTCCCCCCTTCATCCTACCCTATATTTATCTCACCATGACATTCTCCTAGCTTTTTTCCATGTCTTTTCCTAAGTGGACATGGCATCAAACTGCTCTCTAAATTCATACTCTCTACTGATAGATTAGCTCAGCTCTCAGACCCATCAGAGAAGTATCTTTGTGCAATGGATGGTGGTTAACATACAAACAACTGGTCAAAACACAGAGAATAAATGTAAATGGAATGCTCCGCCCAAACTGGCACATCTGTATCACAGCCCCACACACAAAGCTCAAGGACCATCATGAAGAAGGGTGGAAAGAGAGTAATAGTCAGGGATTAGGGAGGATCTGAGCAAAATCACATCTTCGGGACAGGACAAGACTTCTGTACTCATGAACTTACAGCAGCTGTGGACCAGTCCAGCCCACATTTATAGCGTGGAGCAGGGAGGGGTTCACAAGCTTCACCCCTAACTGAGGAGCTGTGCAGTTGATAACTTCTGGGGGAGTCGGTGTTCATGAAGTGTGGCTCCCGAAGGTCAACCATACTCCAGGGGATGGCCCCACATGTAGAGTACATGAACAGCACAAATTGGACTTGGCCTCATTGGAGGGAGCACATCCCGGAGGGTAGGTTTCGGGGGCTTACTGTCTCACCTCACTTCTGGTTCCCTCTCTTTGCTTTGTGTTTGCACACAAAGATGTGATCTCCCAGCTGTCTGCTCCACTACTGCAGCCACCTACTGCTGTGCCAAACAGTCCACCCTTACGGACCGTCCCTCTGAGACCATTAGCCCAAATAAACTCTTTCTTAAGTCGTCTTTGGTCACAGTTTTTTGTTTTTTTTGTTTTTTTTTTAATCACAACAACAGAAAAGTAGCTAATACAGGGCGGGTAGGGAGGTAGAGGTGCATCTAGGGGAATTATGGGAAGGAGTAGGGCACAAATATACTTATATATGTGTATATAAAAGTTGAGTGTAATGGCAAGCATCTTTAGTCCCTGTACTCTCAGGGTAAGATGGGAGGCAGAGACAGAGGAATCTTCTGTAAGGTCTTGGGTTTAGAGTCTGTAGCATGGAAGAAACAAGAGAGATCCTACCTCAATCAGGTGGAAGGAAAGAACTGACTCCAGGTTGTCTTCCAACCTCCCTATGGGCTCTGTGGCATGTGCCTATCCCATTCATACACATATCATGGCAGCATGCAGGCAGACATGGTGCTGGAGAAAGCTGAGAGTGGAGAAGGAACTACATCTTGATCCCAAAGGCAACAGGAAGTGGTCTGAAACAATGGTTGTGGCTTGAGCATATATGAGACTTCAAAGCCTACCCCATATTGACAAACTTCCTCCACGTCTACTGCAACAAAATCACACCTCTTAAGAGTGCCACTCCCTATGAGTTTATGGGGGCCAATTACATTCAAACTGCAATAATGGTTAAATTTATTTTATGCTGGTTCCTGGGAAAGTGACGTGGGGGAGCCATCACAGGCTCATCGATTAGAGACAACAAAACAAGAAGGCAGCTGCTCTGTATTGAGAAGCGAAGCCATCTCGCTTCATGCTTTCATGAATAGAAAGAGAGCTGCCTCCAGGAATGCTGGAACTGTGTTCTGAATGCACACTGTAGCAACTCATCAGAAACTTTTAGCAAGTACTTTGCTTCTTTGGGCCTCAGGTTTTCTCCTGGAAAATAAGATGAGTGAGCAGGGTGGGCTGTAGGAATCCTTCAAACTCTACAACTCTGTTACTGGGCTGGAGCACAGCTTGTGGGACTGAGCTGGTACCAGGTTCTAGGGGCCGTTCCCAGCACCACACAAGTATTTATTGAATGTAATTGAGGTGATAGACTTTGCTATTTATGTATTTGGGACATTTGTTTGAGGGCTCT